GGCCGACCCTTAGAATTGTTTGTTTGTTTGTTTGTTTTTTTGCTTTTTTGCTTGCAAAAAACGCCGGTTTCTTTCCTGAAGATTTCCTGAAGAAAGAATGCCAGAATCTTCCTTCCTCCCTACCCCCCTCCCCCCCCCCCGTTCGCTCCCCCGTAAAAGCAATAGGGTGAATAATGCTCGTGAGCCCGCTCGAAAAAAGATCCCCTCGTCTTTTTTGTTATTTCCTTTTTTTTTTTCTTCTCTCTCTCTCTCTTTTTCTTTCAATGACATATACACTTCGCTGGGGCCCGCCGCCGTTGGGTCACGTGTCGATCTGTCGACGCGATGGATATCATGCATGCTCACGCCATCAACGTCGCAATCTCCATCAGACCAACGACCTCTCCCTCGACCATCGTCGCCAGGATGGCATCGTCGGCGTATCGCAGCTCGCCCGCCACCCGCGAGCTGGCGATCACCGCCTTGGCGTGGGCGACGGACATGTCCGCCGGCAGCTTGATCCAGTCCTTCGACGGGACCATCAGGCGCTGGATGCACGTCGCCGGCTCGTCCATGTCGGCGAGACTCATCTGCTCGATGCGGCGCGGGGGCACCACCACGTCGTCGCCGTGGCGCACCCAGCCGCTCTTGCTCTTGTACGCGCTCATGAGCACGTGCGCGCCCGTGAGTGCCGTGTGGCTCATCTCCGGGACCCGCGCGAAGGGGATGGCGAGATCCGAGATGTGTTGGGGCCCGGAGGCGGCGGCGGCGCCAATGGCACCACCCGGGTGGAATCGGGAGAACACGGCTTGCACGTTAGGGTACAGCTCGTTCGCGACGCTCACCGCCAAGGCGTCGCTGAGTGCCAGAGCCGCCGTCGTGCTCATCGTGGGCGCGTTGAAGCCAAAGGCCTCCGTCTCGCTCTGGTGGATGGGCGCCGGGAGGAGGATGGCGCCCGGGCGGCGTTTGGTGATCGCGCACTCGTTGCGGGCGCCCGTGATGATGATCAGCGGGAGCGAGGCGTCGACATGCTGCAGCAGCTGCAGCAGCTCGGCCGTCCGGCCGGAGAAGGTAATAAAGAGGATCGTGTCGTCCTCGGTGATGGTGCCGAGGTCGCCGTGGAGGGCCTCGGTGGCGTCGAGGAAGGTCGCCACGACGTGGAGGGAGTTCATGGTCGCGACGAGCTTCTTGCCGATATAGCCGCTCTTGCCGACGCCGCTGACGATGAGCCGGCCCTTGGCGCGGCGTGACCGGATAATGCTCTCAACGGCTTGGTAGAAGCTTGCGCGGGCCTTCGGCTCGGTCTCGTACAGGAGCGTCAGGGCCGAGACGGACGTGGCTTCGGTGCCGAGGACGTGAACCGCGTTGGAGAGGCGCTGGTTGAAGTTGGAGCTGAGGCTCAGGCACAGGTCATGGCTCTCCGGGGGGGTGATGGGCGTCAGTTCGTCGTCGGAAGCAGGACAGATGGACTCTTCGCATGATGTCGCGGGCGATGGGGGAGACGGCGGTGGGACGGGCGCGACAAAGGACGTGTGCATGAGGTAGACCTCGCTGTTCTGCACGGGATGGTGGTCCATGGTTCTGATGTGATGGAGTGAGGGATAGGGATGTGAGTAATGATGTGTGTACGTGTGTACGTGGTGTACGTGCCGTACCGGCGTCTGCTGGTCAGAAGAACAAGACGCGACGATGGGACAGTGGCAGAAGTCGTACGACTCCAATCTCAAATTTTGGGACTCTGGTTGCGACTTGACTTTATCGAGAGTGTACGGACGGAAGTTGGTTAGTGTAGGGACAGTGTGTTTTGTTATCTCCGAGTCCGAGTCCGAGGGCGTAAATAGAGAGATAACAAGCGAGTGTAGGTAATGATGAAGTGTTGACTGGACGGATTCGGTTAGTGAGGCCGAGCACACGGATGTACCGCACTCCAGGAATGTGGGTGGGTGAGTGAAATTGAGAGTTAAAGTGAGAGTGGCAGTGAGAGTGAAAGTGATAGTGAAAGTGAAACTGAGTGCGAGAGAGGCAGTGGGCACACGGATGTGGATGACGGGTAAGAGAGGAGGAGGGAGAGGCAGAAACGTGGGGAACCGACTTTCTTTATATTCGCTCGCTCAACTCCTACTGGAAGTCATACAGCGATGGGTATGTATGTGAGAGTGTGCGAGGGTGAGAGAGTGAGATTGCGAGATTGCGAGATTCTGTGAGAGCCGTTTGTGAAGCAAGAGAGATCCAGGTCTTATGCCCTTGGCTTGCTTCAGATGGGACGGAAAGCGTGTCTTTGTTGACGGATCATCCTGAACAGACTGCTGGGAGAGAGTATCAAGAGTCGAGTAAGGGTAAGGGTCGAGTAGGAGTTGAAGGCTTACTCGTGTAGCCGGCTGTTGGACCCTAATTTATTTGGTTTCCTTTTCTTTCCGGTCTCCCGGGACATGGAACGGATGGGTGGATTGATTGTATACCGGTAGTGTCGTTTGCGTCTGAGGATAGGGATTTTCAGACGGATACGGCGGGCGGGTTCATCGACGGTCCTTCTCGGGTCGTTGGATCTCGGGAAGTGGACGTGAACTTGGAGGTGGAGGTGGATCTGGACCTGGACCTGGACCTGGATCTGGACTTGGACTTGGACTTGGACTCGAACTAGGACTCGAACTAGGACTCGAACTTCCCAAACAAAGCAGGGCAAGCGAGTGCAGGATTGCCCTTTTCCAGCACGCAGGAATAAAGAAACATGGTTCGCACACCCACCGTGATCCGTGATCGGATGGTTGGCCAGCCCAGCCGCGGCCACGGCTGGATGCGGGTAAATGGCATCCCATCATCCATCAGAAATCACAAATCATAGGGTCATGGACTTTCCCTTCGCTTCGCCTCCCGATTCCTTCCTCTGGGTGCGGCGCGAAAACAGAAAAATGTCCGCTTTCTTTGTGAGCGATGTGCGCCGGGTATCCACGAGGGCGCCCATCGCATTTGACTCGTGTAGATCAGACTGGTCGCCGGCTGGTCAAAGTGTAAATAAAAAAGAGTTTGCATTTTCTCGAGGACGCTTTTAGATATCTCGAGGACGCCAAGGCTTATGCAGAAATATGAACGGGGTGGGGCAGGGCTGTCCTAGCGATTTGGGCCCTTGGTTACTACCGGTACAGCACTATTTACTTACGGTAAGTATTAGCAAATCTTATTTGCATTGCAGCTTAACAGTACCGGTACCGGTAGTATAACTTAGATGCTTAACCTTATTATCGCCGCTATTATTAACGCTATTCTTGCTTTTACCGTTATACTACGTACGTAGTACCGGTAGGTATATATTCTCGCTTTTCGCACACCTGAAAACGGTCACCCCTTTCAGTAAGCGCTCTAAAGCACGCGATGACGCCTTTCGCTAATAGTAGCTTAAATCTTTTCCTTGGTTTGACATCCTTTTCGAAAAGTCGCAAGAAGCGCTTAATCGTGCGACGCGATTCGCGAGACAATACGAGCTATAAGGTTCATAATGATAAGGAATCACTATTCGAGCTTGCGATAATGCTCCGATGATATTCACACTGATCTTTAGCTTTCTAAATTCTTGCATTCGAAGGGATTCTTCGAGAAATAAAGCTTGTGTCAGGCTCGCAATCGAGCTAAGCCCGCAGAGCCTTCGAGTACCGGTACCGGTACCTTCGAATAGGTTCTGCTTTGAATACCGTACCAAATAGGACTAGTCGCTTATCTGGCACCGCAAGGCCCCCGTCTTTTTTGTGCATAATATTATGCATAAGCTTTAGCGTCTCCGATACATCTAGAAGCGTTTTCGAAATATCAAAACTTATACGTAAAAAAATCCGATCCAATTCAATTCAGTTCAGTTGAATTCAATTCGCTTCGCTTCGCCTCGCTTCCTTTCGCCTATCCAAGGCAAGGTCAATTCCGAGGCGGAGGTGGTGGGGGTCGCTTGAGTCTTGACACGGCTCTCTCCTCGTCAGAGAGAGGGAGGTTTGCAAGGTAAAGCCAATCTTAGATCAGCGGGTATATACGGTAGTTACTCACTCGTAACTTCACACATACGTAGTATAATATTTCGGCAAATACACGAGATAATATCGTATTCCGATTGGCTTTTGAAATCTGGGAGGGATCATGAGAATCAACATCGTGGTGTGGGTACCACCTACCACGGTACAGGCGTAATTGTTACACCATTAAGGGTGCATCAAAAGTCTGGATTTCCACTTTAAGCCCCCTGGTTACCCTACCCCCAAGGGTGTAACAATTACGCCTGGGACGTAGTAAGTAGCTACCCAGTCGTCAAACCTGCGACCAGGTTGCCGGCGATGCGATGGCCGCCGCTGCAGTTGTAGACAGGGAGAGCCTGACAAACCTCACCTTCGGATGCACCTGTCTGTCTGCTGTCACTTAATTTGGGGTTCGCGGCGTGAGAGATGGCGTCTGGTTTGCATTATCATTATCCTTCAACTGGCATGAGGCCGGCTGTTGAGGATTATCTAATTTTAGGCCAGTAGATCGTGAAGCTTGTTTTTTCCGCTGTGTGTTGGCCTGCGTCCGAAGTCTCGAGAGTCGGGACGTTTCAACGAGGTTGTTGTCTGGGCGTGTCCCAATGCTGCGTGCGATTCAGTCCTGTACCGAGTAAACACAAGAAGGATTCTACCTAAACCAACATTTGGTCCCACAACACGAAGTACTCACATATCATACCAGCTTCGAAGTCCGTCAATAGTGGTAGCTTGGCGAGCCTCTCGATCGTTGTCTAGAGTCTAGACCGCCTCGCAGATCAATCACGACTTGACATTTCACCTTTTCACATAAAAACCGACTATCTCCATTCACTTGGCCATGCCACTCACCTACTCATTTACTCCATGGTTGGTGCTTGATGCCCTCCCTCTCAAGGCTCTCGAAACGATCCCGCAGTTGTTTCATGGTCGTGTACAAATAATATAACAACAACAACAACAACAACAACACAACAACCCCGACCCCCACAGGCCAAGTCCAGCTTCCCGAGTTTCGTGTTGCGTGGGATTGCCTAGACAAGCACGAACCCGTTCAGAAGAATCGTACGAATCGCAACTTTATCCGACGAACGGTAGCTATTGCGTACGGAGAGTAGGTAGCCGTGCAACCCAGATAATACTAATTGGCGCATGAACTTGAGCCGGACACGAAGTGCTAAGTGGCAAACGCTTCAGCCGCCCCTCGGCAGCGGTCGAGCTAGCATGAAATCTGTCACGTGATTAGGTAGGGGATCGATCGAGTGAAACTTCGTTCTATTGCGCGATTGGGCCTTCCATTTTGGATCTAGGTAGGTAAGCGCCGACAGATATAAACTTTGGTGCTTTGGGATCCATGATTTCTCGCTTATCTCCCGCTTTATTTATGCCGACTCGCCAGATCACGTTCTACTCTACCCTTGATTCATGTGACTTTTCAACGCAAATGTAACGACCTAGGGACGGTACTCGTCAAGACCCAACGAGATGCAGTTTACATGATGGAGAGAGCGCAGCTCGTCGTATGCAGGATAGTAGATTCCTTCTCCTATCCAACAGGGCTTAGAAGTATTCAAGTTGCAGCATCATCTTCCATGGCCTCATGATATTATACCCAGGTACGTACTTTACAGTTGTGCCCTTCTCCCTTTCAGATCCCTACTCTCTCTCTCTCTCTCTCAATCAACTCTCTCCCGATTGCAACTTCTCACTTTCTCAAGCTTATACGTCGCCAGAAATCCTGTCATCTCCAAGTACCAGATCGTCAGTAACCTCACAACATCCCCCTTTTCCAAGCTACGGCCCTACCACACCAGCGACCCACCGGCAGCTCTTGACCATTATCATGTCATGTCGTGTCCAATCCACCAGCAACCAAGGGCTCTTTCCCCGTGATTGCTCTCCCTCGACCTATCTAGGTATTTACCTATCTATTTAAACGTCGACTTCCCGCTCAGAATCATCTGGATTCTATAGGTAAACAAACATCCATCCACCCAGCATCATCAACCCCCATCCACTTGCACCCCACCGTCGCTATCAATTACCTGCATCCCCATTGCAGTCTGTGAGTTCCTCACCCTCCTCTTCTTATCCCCAGCAAGCTCTTCAACCAAGCCGGCCGTTCGTACCCTAGGACTCGGTCTCGTCGTCGAGAGATATCCCCGGCAAGAGCTGACCAAGGCACCAGGCTCTCCATATTTCTCGCTATTCACCCATAAATCGTCCAGAGCCCCCATTAGACCTGTGTAAGTTTCTATTCCAATCCTGCTGCGTGGCATGAGCGGTTGCTTTGCCAGCCGGCCCAGGTCCCATCATGGCCTCCGCCTCAACGTTGCTTTTGTCGTTGGGTTTTGGTTTGTGTGTGGTTGGTAGTCGCCATGATCGAAGCTACTAGGACTACCTCGAGCTTAGACACCGCATCCGCAAAGAATCGACCATTCAGAGATCCGGCAGAAGAATATGAAAGATGGGATTTCTTGTTCTTCAAGGGTGTTTGTGGTATTCTTGCTATCTGGAGCATAGGCTGTGGAATCACCCTCGTGTTCTGGGGAGAAGAAGAACCAGCAGATGCAGCTGCGTCAGCAGTATCGGCATCCGGAGGACCAAGGCCAATAGCATCGGCCACCAATTCCTTGAGGCCAGGAGTATAGCGAAGACAAAGATCACCGGTGAAGGGTGGCTCCGGACGGGGAACTTCAGAACTGGCAAACTACAACGTATGTCGGTTGAGGGACATACATGTATGATTCGGAGCTCCATCCTACTCAGGAGCGCGGGAACACAGTCGGAAGACACGTGGCATGATGGACTAGCGACATGTGAGCGATTTCTGGCTTGGGTCCATATCCGAAGAGGGATTTGACGGGCGAGTGGGTAGGTAGGAGGTCCTCGTGCTTGTGCTCGTGTTCGCCCCCCGAGCAGCGTAAATTCCTGTACCTCTCTCCTTGTGTTTTATCGCTATTCGCGTAAATTATGTGTTCCAAGAATCCGGAAACCAGAGCATACCTGCTCAGGTAAGTACGGAGATGAAGGTTTCCAAATTAAGCCCAGCCAGCTAGCTTCTAGAAGTCGAGAAGTCGAGAAGTCTAGAAGTCTGAAAGTCTGAAAGAAAGTCTTGACGGCAAGCAGTAAGTAGACCTGCAATGCGCATTGCAGTTTCTAGTGTTAGAGCCTTATTTACCGCACGACAGCAAATTATATGGAAAAAAAAGGGAAAAAGGAAAAGGGAAAAGGGAAAAGAGAAAAGAGAAAAGAGAAAAGAGAAACCAGAAGCAGGACAGAGCGACTGACTCTCATACACCACTTCATAAATGCTTAAAGATGAGGCTCACACGGGTCTCACAAAAACAAAATCACATCTGCTCGGCTCGGCTCGGTGCGGCTCAAGACACACATCTGAGAAATTCTATTCAATGATTTGATGCCAGAATGGGCGGACAACGGCAGCAGTAGGGAATCTAAAGAGAGTGGCTAAGTGGCTGCTTCACGCCGGCGCCTCGACTCGCGCTCTCTGCCTGCCATGCGCATGTAATCCCTGGATCAGATAAGTAGGCAGCCGCAAAGACTACCACCATCAATTTACTCTATCCGACCCAACTCCGCCTCTCCGGGCTTTCCGAGATAACTTAGACCCCTCGGTCATGCAGTTTGTGAACGGGCACGAGGGTTTGATACGAGGGCCAGAGTCTGACGGGGACCGAATACCGAGATACTTCCACATCCTCATCGACGGTACCTGTTTCCCGGTAGAACTGCATGAGATGAGCGATGTGAGGCTTCAACTTGACTTTGCAGGGGGAACTCTACCTTGGACATGCCATGAAGGTGCTCGTGGTATATGCCGTGGTCATGATCCTGATCCTGCTGGGTGTGCCAGCGCGGCGGATATCTGCTGTCGCACGTTACGGCGACGTAGAGACGATCAACCAGCTTGCACATCCGTACCGCGAGGTAGATCAGCAGCTGGTGCTTGAACACCTCCTGCTGGTCATCCGCGTTGCCCAGCTGAAGGAGGTAGCGGAAGTTCAGGGTGCCGATTAATGGTTCCAACCACCAAACCAGGAGCTGCGGGCCGGATACCAGGCATTCCTGCCAGTGGTTCAGTCGTGATGATTCCTTGTGGATGTCGACACCGAGGAAGCCTGGCTCCTGGCACCACTAAAGTCCAGGTCAGGACATGCATCTGCCGAGCAACGATGTAGGGACTAGATTGGTGGCACCCACATCGAAAAGTATGGGCAGCAAGCGGTCGACATAGATCTCCTTGAGAAACGTATCGCCCGCCATACCGATCACGCCCATCGCGGAGCGAATCGAGTCCTGACACCGGAGAGACTGTGGGACAAAGCGCAGGTTCGTCGCGGGCGATACCGGCCCCTTCAGGAATACGAATACCTGCCAAACTCATCAATCAGCCAGGAGTTGGAACCGTCTCGCCGCCCCCAACCGGCCGTCCATACCTTCAACATCTCTTTGCGAAACGACAGCTCCGAGGTCTCCGTCTGCTCCAGACCCGGCGGGCCGTCCTCCGGCAACGCGTGCTCGTCCAGACCCACCCTGTGGCCCAACGCGAGCGTCATGCCGTATCCCCAGTACTTCTCGCGCACCGAGCGCGTGACGAACAGCGCGCCGAATCTTTCCGAGCCCTCCTTGGATAACACCTCCCTGAGATCGAGGCGCGGGTTGTCGGCTACGAAGCGGGTGATCTCCTCGACCAGACGTGCTTGCTCGGCACCGGCGACAAACTTAGCCGCTTCCTCTGCCTGACGAGCGTTCTCGATGACGGAGACTGTTTCTTGTTGTCGTACGGTCTCAGCTTTCCATGGTGCGTTCGGTGTGCGGGGAGGGATAATACGAACCGAATACCATGTTTGAATGTTATCCAATTAGCTAGCTAGCTCGGCGTCCTCTGTATCGTGTATGAGCGGTGTTTTTTCTTCTGGAGGCCTACTGCTGCTGCGTGCGGGACCTGAATATGACGATGCTGCTTGAGCGAGCGAGCGGGAAACGATGTGGTTAAGTTTTGGTGGATGTTGGATGGTGTTTTGTTTTGTTGATGATGAGTAAGTGAGTCTTCAGCATCGCGGGATACGAAAAGATGGCCATGGACCGTAAGACGGGCTGGCTGAGCTGTTGTTGTGTCGGAGATGGGCGGAAGGCGCGAAAGGCGCGAGTGACGACTGACGATCGATAGATATGTGTAGCCTGGATTCAAACAGCAGGAACGATTTCTCAAAGATTGCCCACTTTACATCTGACCTGTTTACATCTCTATATAGATCCGAACCGAAGGCGTTACTGAGACACGAACAGCAGAGCCCGAACTCTGTGTTTAGAGTTCCATGCTTTAGAATCCAAGAGAGCACCAACCGCTCTCATCTTGTAAAGCAAACTCGGCCTTTTCTTTTATCCTCTACTGCTCGTATTGCCCGATCTCGCTTATTTCTGTGCCTCGCTAAGTCTACAGGTTCCGGGCGCCACATCACCGACACTGGCAAGTTGTGAATGACATAGCATACCCTCGGTTCGATATCCGATACATGATATAGACGTCGAGTTTTTAAAAACGATTTATCTATCCATGTATGATTAGCTGTCATTCGGCGGGTAATACTTACCTCGGGGAGCGATGGGGTTCTAGCGAGTGGAGGGAAGGAGAGAGCCGAGTTCTCGCTCGCGGGTTGCTTCTCCCCCTGCCTATCCCTTTGACCAGAGGATGTGTTATCAGTTTGTTGAGCTGTGAATAAGTAAAATAATATTATTGTCTGTAGCTGCGGCGTCTTGTGGCATCGACTGGTGGAAAACATTTTCTTTGTGCGTGCATTTTCCCGGTATTCCCAGGGCGGCGGGAGCGGAGGCGGTGGCGGTGGAGGCATGGTTGCTCCATAGCATGTATGTATGCTCTCAAGCCAGGTATGTAATTTTTCATCTCATCATGTTCTTTCTCACGGCGTGTGAGATTTAGCTTGTTGAGAATCGGGCTGGAAATGGCCGTTGGCGCTTACTGCGACCAGTCTTTTGACAAGCGGCATTCTATAAACTCAAAGTTTGATTTATATATATATATATATATATATTTTTCAATAAAAAAAGGGGGGGGGGAGGTTAGCCTTGTTGTTGTTGTTGTTGTTGTTGTTGTTGTATTTATTAACGTCGGGCGGGTATCCAAAACGCAATGCTTGGACCCTGGGGACCTCCCATGGGGTACGGCGACGTGCTAAGTAGAGGAATTATATACAAAGTACTATCTAATCGAGAGTAAAAACCACGTTGGGGAAAACCTCTCGTCAAATAGCTGAACACTT